GAGATGTCCCATCCCTGAGCAGACCCAGCTCCCGCACCCGAGGTGCTCCTGCTGCCGCTGGCGCTGAGGGACCCAGTGCCCAAATACTCTGCCTGGCTGACCGGTGCTCGACATCGGTGGCCACAGCTTCTGCTGAGGCGCTGTGCATGAAAGGCTCAGTGCCTGAGCTGCAGGGGATGTCACCTGTGCTTGGGCTCATAGCAAACCCTGAAGCCACCACCTCTGCCGAGCAGAGATGGCGTTGCCCTTGTCCCTGGACTTTGCAAGCACTCTGCGCACCAGGCTCCAGAGATCATACACTGAACGTGCTTGTTAGTGTATGATCTCTGCAAGACTGAAAATGCAGTAATTACTGGAAAGCTCAGTGGTGTGTCTGCTTTTGGAAAGGGCTCTGCAGCGTGGTGCAGTCCTCTTCTTAAAATTAGACTCTTTATTTAGAGGGATCTTTGAAAACGTGCGATAGACTTCCAGTCAGGCTGGGGTTTTATTCTTGATACTCTTCTGTAGGTTGGCTGGTTGGTTTCTTTTTCTCTTTGTAGATTTAAGCTTAAGGTTTGGGGAGGCATGTGGCCTAGAAAACTAATCACACTCTCTCCTGCAGAGAACCAAGTGCAGTAAGGCTGTTGTTGCAGTGGTATTGAGGCACTGACCCAAAGATAACAGTGAATAATATCCCTAAAAGAAGGAAAGCTGGAAAATAAAAACTGTATTTTTTTTAAGTTCCTCATTAGTGATTCTGCATAAAGGATGTAAACCCCTTCAGATAAGATCCCCTGCAAATGCCAGCAGGAGCAATCAAACCATCATTCACGATAACAAATCCTAGCAGGCTCCCATCACATTGAGCCAAGGAAAAATGGCCTGCTTTTCCTTTGCTGTAAAAAATGTCCATGCCTCGTTGCTTAACTGCTCCAACCTGATAGCCTGGGGCAGCTCTTGGACAAAGCAAGAACAGGAGTCTCGTTCCTGGTGCTCTTGGGGGTGCTGCATGCTTGCTGGGGCCATCAGGGCTCGGTGGGGCTCTCTGGTAGCGATCACCAGACAAATCCCTGCTGAGGCAAGGGAAAGGCAGGGGGCAAACCCTAGCTGAAAACAGCCCTCAGCAACTGTATATGCATGAGGCAGCTGCAGATGAAGTTGCTGTTACGCTTAGAGGACAAAGGGCAAACTCTATCAGGCGCTGCTGTGAGGTGGCTGCAATAAGCCATTTCTGCTCCCTGTGTCTCTGCTCCCATGGGCCACTCGGGTTCAGAAGGGGGATCGTTGTCTAGATACTTTCTTAAGGCATAGGTGGAAAAAAAGCGTGCAGCTACACTTCTGTAATGGACTTTGTCTCTTGAAGCAAGTGTGTGGTGCACCTGGCGGGAGGTCTTGTGGCAGTTCAATGGGATGCAAATATCTCAGATATCTGGCAGAGCTGATCGTACTGGTCTCCTTTCTGCTCATTTCTTCCCTGAGTTTCCTGGAAGTGAGAGGCCTGTCTTGGCTCTGGTTGTGAATTAAGACCATTTTGGAAACAATTCTAACTCCAATGACAGGAATTCTGACAGTCGTCTTCGCTGGAGATATTCAAAACCCGTCTGGACGTGATCCTGGGAAATATGCTCTAGAGGACGCTGCTTGAGCAGGGAGGTTGGACTAGATGATCTCCAGAGGTCCCTTCCAACCTCATCCATTCTGTGATTCTGTGAATTCCTTTACCTGCCATTCTACTACCCTTTTTGCCTAGGGTCTATCTGACAAGCAGAGAACGTGTTCCTCAAAGCTTTAAGTGCAATAGCTGGCTTTGGGCACTACAAAGTAAAAAAGATCCCTTGCAAACAAATATATGCTGGTACCAGCAGGAAACCTGACTTAAGGAAGCCGTGCTTGGAAACTCACTTTGAATGGAGGGGAGAAGAGGAGGTGGTATTTTAGGTCATGTCACTAGTTGTTACTATTTGTCAAACTACAGGCACCTCAGAGGTATCTTCCCACTCAATGAAGCAAAAAGAATCCAGAGTGTCATAAATGCTATTTTCTGCAGGCTGGCTGCAGAAGATGACTTTAGGTTTGATTACGTTATAAGAAAGTATGATTAGGAAACAGACTTCTTGGAGCCACTTCATGGAGCTTGTCCTAGTGTATGGTAAATATGCTTTCAGGCCTTGGCAAGAGTAAAGAGCGAGTTTCTGTGTGAAGAGAAAAGAGTGAGTCCCCCTGTGTAAGGAGGGTGCAGTTTTTTTCTTTAGGCTTTTCTTCTTCATATTTGTTCCTCTCACAGGGAAATAGTCCAGGCCCCACTTTCTCATGCCCGTTGTGGAGAGTACTTGTAAAACATTTCAATGAATCCAGCAGTAACGTTGTACAGTATCGCGTCTTCTTTAGACCTTAATATCTGTATTCCCCTCAGAGTGGCATTCTTTTTTCCTCCACTGGGGAGCGTGCCGCACAAAGTCCCGTCGGGCTGGGACCTTGCCTAGCACCCTGCACTGTTACAGTCCTGCAAGGAAACGCTCTCCTTGGTCCCACCAGGAAATATTCCCCTGGCTGCAAGACTTCCTGCAGTGCCGGGGAACGCTGTTAGCAATTCGTTCGCACATTGAACCACTGCCTTCATCATAACCCTTGCTTGTTCCTGTTTCTGATGAAGTTACAATCAGAAAAGTTGTGCCCAGCCTACACTTAGCTTGCAGATTGCTGCTCCTATTTCAGATCCGTGTCTGTCTGAAAATTTGTCCAGCTGGTTTCCCTCCCAGTCTGTCAGCTAAGAGAGATTACTGACTGCCAGCAGCACAGGCTCTAATGTCCTGAACAATGTTTCTGCTATTGGAGTTGGTGCATGGTGCACCTACCAGAATGGCAACAAGGAGAAAGGGCCAACGCAACACCTTGTGCAGAGGAGAGAGGAACATTCTCCCTCAGTTAGCCTCAAACTAAAATATTTCCCAGACCAGACAGTTGTCTAGGACACTACACTTCCCTTGTAAATGTGCCCACACGGCTCAGGAGACGCTGAGCAACCTGTGCTGGACTGGAAGTATCCCTGGTATGGACTCCTTGTAAAACTGCTGGTGTATGGCAGGAAGGAAGAAACTGTAGTTTAGCCCCTGTAGAGAGGATTTTCTGTCACTTTCTTGAAGAGAGAGGCACCTTTTTTTATGTGGTATAAGATACACAACCCAGGTTACTCCAGCTGGCTTTTAAAGACATCATGACTGCGGTATGCAAGCCCATGAGTCTGGAACGAGTCATTACGGCTTTGAGCTGATGAACATTTAGCACCTGTAGTGTGTGCAGAGATGGAGGGAAGCAAAGCATCGCTTCTGGTGCGTATGTCTATTTTGGTGACCTGTTTCCTACTCCGACTCATCAAAAGGGAATACAGAAATCAAATTCATTGGAACAGACAACCACGACGTAATGGAGGTGAAGAGCTTTAAAAAAACGTTGTCAGTTCAAAGGCAATATTTCACGCAGGAACACGAAAATTGAGCTGCAGTTCTATCATAGTATCCCTCAAAACACGTTATATGTAGCTCTTTTTGCCTCCTGATTGACTTTGTAAATGCATACTCCCATACCTAATGCTAAAAAGCCCTCTATACTACCCCAGCCCTCAAATTGCTGCACGAAAATGCCAGCAAAAAAGGAAAATGCCACGAGTTTTTACAAAGGCCTTTTGAGTTGAGATGCCTCTGCTAACCCTGGAGTCACCCGGTGAAATTTACCTAAAATTAGCTGGGGAGTTTCTTTGTTCTTTCATTCAAGTTAAGGAGTGTGAGCTCCTGCTATGAAGGTGAGTGACTTCAGTTAACGCTACTGACCTCTCTCTTCCAGCTCCAAGCAATAGCTAACATTTCAAAGCAGAAAGCTTCTTATCCTGCTTGAGTGGCTGTTGCCTGCTGCCAGGAGAACCACAACTAGCTGGTCCTGCCACTCATGCTCATGTGGCATCTCTACCCAGTGCTAGGGGGCTGCACTTTCAGGGGCCAGCTTTCCCTTCTGGGGAGAGAGCCTGATCCCCTAGGGACTTTCAAAAAGATTGTGATTGTAGCAAATGTAAAACTTTGGGACCTCTGTCAAATTGGGTTGAAGCTATCCAAAAGCTTGAAAGTTATTCTGTCTCTTCCTTCTTCCCTCTTGACAGTGAGACTATATGGGAAAACAGCCTACACCACTGACTGCAAGAATGGTAGGATGGAGAAGGAAAGGGATACTGACATGTTCAGTAGTTTGTTTTATTGACAGGTATAGGTGGTCAAAGCTGTTCTTTTGGCTTGGTTTTTGTATGTACATGAATGAAGTGCTCTCTAAAGACAATGAGTTGTCATATAAAATCCTCTTCATGATGAAAAGGGGATCCTGGCTTCAGTCATTGTATTAAACTTTCCATGGGTCAGATCACCAGTTCCGCAAAAGCATGTTGCAAAGGGACATGGCGGTGTGCCTGAGGCGAGACAATCGGCGGTGTGTGCCTCCAGGTTTTGCTCTATGCGTGCTCTTGTGGTTCCTAACCTCATCACCAGGCAGGCTCCTTCAACCTCAGTGCATGGTAAAGATGTGATGGGTGAAGAGCACAACACTACTATAATGTCTAATGAAAAGCAGCAAATGCAGTGCTGTCAGCTCTGAAAACTGTACACGGTCTCCAGTTATTGCATCCTAGATGGTTCTGGGAATAACATGCCATTAATAATTTGTAGTAACCCATGGCTTCTAATTTATTGAAATGGTTTGGGTTTTTTTTTTTTGTCTCTCTTTAAAATGAATGTAAAAGCTGCATAATTAATCTGCTTGCAGTTCACGTTGTATCAGAGGTGGCTTTGAGTTTAGAAGGATATTTACTCCTCCAAAGTGACAAAGCATGTACTCTAGCGCTTAGAGAGGATGCTTGGCTAAAGCCAGTCTGCTTTTATCTCTCATAGGCTGGCTAAGAGGAAATGTTTGGTCCTTACACCAGAGATCACATTAGTGACACTGGAAGGGTGCAATAGAGAACAGAACTGCCAGGGACTTACCACATCAATTATCTGCAGCAAAGAAAGCTGAAGCTCAACTACCACGGGTTGGGAGTCGTTCAGCACAGGTCGTTCAAGACGATTGTAGTTTTTCAGCAGCTCTCTGTACAAGCGTCTCTGGCTTTCACCCTGCTGAGACACTAGGGGAAAAGAAAGACAGTTAACATCTGTCATTCAGATGGTCACACAGTCCATGTTGTTTGTTTGCTTGAAAAATCTCTCTTAATATCTTTTTAGCTTGAAACTGGTTTCCCAAAAAGTAAGGATCTCTAATCCTGCTCATAGGGGTGTTAGACAGAGCTTTTCTGGCACGTGTCAGCCACACTGCGACTGACGCGCTCTTTAGAAAAAGCGGACCACTGAGTGTCATGTAGGAATAGCCTTCTGGGCTCCCAGTAAAAACCCCCCTCAGTTTTTAATTTTTTTAAGTATGTAAAAATATTTACGTCCTCTGTCATAACTTTAGTACATGCTTTATGCTGGCTCAGCAGACCCCTGCATCCCCCGTAAGGTCCTTCTGTGGGAAAGAAATCAGTGAAGATAACATCACATTGTCCTTTGGAAAGAGGGTCCATGCTCTCAGCCGACACGCTATCCTCTCCCTCTGCTGCACCACGTCACTTTCCTGTGCTTTAGGGAAGGGATGACCACCTGCACCACCTCTCATCCTTAGCACATACATCGTGTTCACCTTTAACCTCCCTTTTTAACAGTCTACCTCTGCTTTTACTATCAAAATATGCCCTTTGCCAGGCACTGGATGTCGCCAGTGCTGCTGGTAGCATCGCTGGCAGAGTGCAGTAACTCAGGCACCCCAGGGGGCTGACCAGGGAGATTTGGGCATAACGCTTTGCTGTGTACCCCAGGGAGCTGACTTTGCGCTGTGTGCTCCAGCCATGCTGTAACCAGGCCCCTTGCCCTGTTAAACGCTGTGAGCTGAAGAAACCCTGCACTAGATTTTTGCAGCTGGCTCTCCATCCGTTCTTCACTTCTCCTTTCTGCAGTGTGGTCCCGCTACTTGCTGACCTCTTGTATCTGCAATTGTTAACGTATCCCCGCTGATCTATTCTTAGCCTACTGAGCTGGTACCCATCGCCATATGTTTGTGTGCTCTTTGGTTTTGTTTACAAAATTGTGTAGATTCAGAAGTGGTGAAGCCTTGGGGTCTCCTGGCAAATTGCCATGGCAGCTGTTGGTGTTGCAAAGGCTTCATTTGTCTAATCAGCCTGTTAAAACCCCATTGCAGTAGCTCTGGAGCAGGAACAGAGATGGGCAACGGGTCAAAATTGTATTTTCATAAAGTTCTTTAAATCTTCAACTACTTCGTGTTTCATACTCCAGAGAGATTACAGCTTTTTATCCCTCTAATGCCTGTGCTAATGCTTTGTGACAGTACATCTCTGAGTGCTAAGTGGAGTGTTTGTTGGTGATGGGGAAGCCTGGGTCTCTTGGGAACAGCGACAGGATAAGCATTACTGCTGCCCACCCTGCAGCCACAAATCTAACCTCAGTCACCGGCACCGTAAGCTCAGTGGTCCCTGAGACAAAATTTTAAAATAGGCTGGAAGTTGGAAGTAATTTATTAAGCTTGCCAAATCAGTCTCTCAGACTGATCAGACTTTTGCGAGAGAGTCTTCATCTGCAAAGAACTGCTGGTGGGCATTAGGAGCGATGCTTGCTTGCTGCAGGCTGCTGAGTGACAGAGCGCCACTTATGACCCACAGCTTCATCCACTGTCCCCCTTATTGCCGAATTAGCTTTGAATCAGCAGAAAAAAGTACTATCTCATTAAAAATTCAGCGGAGAGTAGTGAATGTTGTTTCTCTCAACTTTAGTAAGGCTTTTGACGCTGTCTCCTGTAACACCGTCTTTGATAAACTGATGAAGCATGGGCTAGATAAACGGACAGTGAGGTGGAGTGAAAACTGAGCAGCTCCCAGGCTCAGAAGGTTGTGATCAGCGCCACAAAGTCCAGCCGGAGGCCAGGCACTGGGGATGTCTCCCAGGGAGACTGGGGCCAATACTGTTTAAAGCCTCATCAATGATCTGGATGAACGGACAGAGGGCTCCCTCAGTATGTTTACAGCTGATACAAAACTAGGGGGAGTGCCTGATACACCAGAGGGCTGCGCTGCCATTCAGAGGGACCTCAGCTGGCTGGAAAGACGGACAGAGAGGAACCTCATGCAGTTCAGCAAAGGGGAGTGCAGAGTCCTGCACCTAGGGCGAAGTAACCCCATGCACCAGTACTCGCTTGGGGCCAGCCTGGGAGTCCTGCTGGAAAACAAGTTCAACATGCACCAGCAACGTGGAGTCAAGGAAAAGAAGACCGATGGCATCCTGGGCTGTGTTAGGCAAAGCATTGCCATCAGGTGGAGGGAGGTGATCCTCCCCCTCTACTTAGCACTGGTGAGGCCTCACCTGGAGTGCTGTATCCAGTGCTGGGCTCCCCAGCACAGGACAGATATGGACATACCAGAGCAAGCACAGTGACAAGAGATGAAAATGATGAAGGGACTGGAGCATCCTTTATATGAGGAGAGGCTGAAAGAACTGGGACGGTTCAGTCTGGTGAAGAGAAAGCTAAAGGGGGAACTTCTCCGTGTTTATAAATGCTTAATGGTGTGATGGAAAGAAAATGGAACCAGACTCTTCTCAGTGATGCCTGGGACAAAAGGCAATGAGCATGAATCAAAACTCAAGAAATTCCACTTAAACATAGGGAAAAAGAAAGTTTTTTTACTGTATGCGTGATCAAACAGTGGAACAGGCTGTCCATGGAGGTTGTGTAGTCTCCACCCTGGAGATATTCAAAACCCAACTGGACACAATCCTGAGCAACTTGCTCATGCTCATCCTGTTTTGAGTATGGGGTTTGGACTGGGCAGTCTCTGGAGGTGCCTTGGATTGCCTTCCAACCTAAACCCATCTATGATTCTGTAAAAATTGTCTTTTGGTGATGTCTCCCAGCCTTATGCCATGGGAGTCACCCGAGTTCTGGTGCTTCTGAAAACTGGAGTCCCTGGTCTTGCAGTGGAGAGATTCATTAGCAATGACTTACTAAGGTCTGATAACTTGAATGTAAAGAGAAACTGAAAGAGAGAAGATGAAGAACCAGAGTCATCCCTGGCAGAACATTAACAGGGTGGAAACCCAATCCTGTAACTTTCCACTTGAACTAAAGAAATAGCTGACATTTAATACTAGATCTTTTTCTTGGATAATGGTTGTGAAGGTCGCAGCAGTGAAGGCCAGTCAGTAGGAACGGGTCTAGTCTGATACAGGTTTCTGACTAACGTTACCTTCCTCTGGCCGTGGGTGGTGATTGTTGCTGTACTCCTTTTGGACACATGGTACCACAAGGTGCATGAGCTGCTGACAGCAGAGAAAGCCTGGGGAAGGAGCTTTGCTCAGCATAACGCATGGCCAGTGTGGCTGTAGTAGTGTCAAGACAGCGGGCATCCTCAGAGTGTTTGTTTATAGCAAGCCTAAGAGGTAATGAGCATGTGTAAAAAGGACCTCATGTCAAAGAGGGGATGAGTGGGTGGACTTCCAAGCTCTGTTTCTAGTGGGAAGAATAGCAAGTATGGATGACATACTCTGCCTTGACGTGCACTGGATGCTAAAGGGCTTTACTTTGTGTAAAGGGCATCAAAGCCATCTGTGATTTGGAGCTGAAATAAAAAAATTAAAAAAAAAAAAAAAGCTGGAAATGAAGCAGACATTTTCTTTTCTAGCAGGAAATGTAGTAAACCTCTAGAACAAGGGCTGCTCCACCCCGAAGTCCTCATATCAGGGATGCTGGATGTCTTTCTTCAGAATTTGCTTAAACCAAAAAGCTGCTGGGCTGGATAAGGGGTGATTAGGTGAAATGCAATGGCTTGAGATAGGCAAAGCATCAGGTCCCTCTAGCTTTACTCTCTGATTAACCTGAGTGGTGGCTTCCCTAAACTGCTCCTACAGTTTGCAGGCAACTGGAAGGCACGAGGCCAATTAATTAATCCACAGCAGGAAAGGGGTCCCCAGATAGCTACCACTTTAGTCATATGAGATTACGGGAGCTTTTTTGTACTGAAAGTTTTTTCAGTTCAAACCTTATATTCTTTCTAAAATACTTTACAGTTACACATATGCATGCTAACAGGTCTCTGAACTGTAAAACGTGTTTTTGTTCCTCTTCCCTCCTCAAAAACAATTCCTAGAATCATTTTGCGTAAAGCAGTACAGATTGCAGTGCAAATCAGCAGCATATTCCTTTTCCAGCATATTGCTACTTTTGAACATTTTTTTCCTTTTCATAAACTTCATAAAACTTCCTCAACTCCTGTGATATCATTTTTGTGGTGTTATTCACTCCCCTTATGCAGATACTTTACCACATCTATGTATTTTTTTTCTCTCTCTGCACTGTTCTTGTGCCACATTCCTCCTCACCCTCTTTTCTTTTTTATTACTGTTTTCTAAAAGAAATTGAGGGGAGTTCTGGCCTAGTATGACTGGAACATTTACACGGCAAAAAGCATGAGGAAAACTTTTGAGTATCAGAGCTGTCTAACTCCTAGAGCTTCATATATTTTCCTAAAAGCCTGCAGGCTTTTATGAAGTAGCTAGCCCTCTATTATTTACTTCCTGCTTAGTTTATTACTGAACTCTCAGATTGTAGTTATTTCTTTGGGAATGCATATGGAATGATCACAGAAGGATAAACAGTATATGCAATGATCAATCATAGGGGGAAGTAATAGGGGTAATATCATTGAAAATGCAAGTTATTTCACGGGAAACTTCATCAGCACAAACAGTTGAAATCGCAATATCTCTTACCAAAATATGGCATGCTTTACTGCTTTGGTAGCTATAAAAAAGCATTCACCTTAGTTGTATATTTTGCAGATTTCTGAGAATGTAAAGCGTATCACTGCCATATGTCACTTAATCCCCAAAGACATGGATGTGTCCCACCTGCTTTTGTTCTTATGTGCAGGTTGTTACTTTTATCTGTGACTGCAAACGCATTATTTATTTCAACGTCATTAGCTTTAACACGCATGCCATCATATTAGGGGAAGAGTATTCAGGCAGGAAACAATGGCACTGCAATAGCTGCCTCAACTCTCTATGTGGGTAGCACATGAATGTG